GGACGGGCGAGCGCGGGCTGTAACTAGCCCCTGCCGGCGCACCGCCCTGACCTTTCCCCCAGCTTAAATCGCACTCAGCGTTTTGTGACCAGAAAATACAGGCCTTCACAAGGACCTGAGGTGTGCTTTAATGAGTACATGCTGGTTTTAATCCAAAAGGAGGGGGAAAAAAAAAGACTGGGAAGAATACTGAGCATATTTTGCTTTTATCTTCTCCATCTTACTAAGGAGTAAAAACCAAAGTCTCAGCAGACATGACTTACGGGTGCCTTTTTGTTCGTAAATCGTCCTGACAAGTTTAGCAATACTGAAAAGAGGGTTATTTTTTCTACAAAGGAAACATGGCATACTAGGCTGACAGTACAGAGAATTTGTGTATCTCCCACACACAAAAACAAGCCTACATTTGAAAATATTCCTGAATCTTGTCATATCTTCTAGCCAAATTGCTCAAACCTTGGATGTCAGGGAGCAGCATTGCTCATACATTTAGAGAGCAATGCCCTCAGAGGAAATTTTCCCAGTGTGCAGTCAGTATGATGCAGCAAGAGTTGTGCATATAGCATATGATATTGGACTCTTTATGCGTATACTTAGGTTCAATTCTGCTAATATCTCTGTGTTTCTTAATAACCTAATTCTGCCACTGACGAATAACTTACATCTGCTGCCAAAATTGAATGTATCAGGCACTAAAAGATTGTGCCTTAGGTGCTAAATTGCAAAACACGTTTCATAATCACATCTGTTGAAGAAATACATGGTTGTATCGTGCCAAGTTTCTTCTTTAAATCCAGAAGCAGTAATTGTTTAGGAGCAACTGGAACCCTTTTATTTCTAGTTAAAGATATGGTTTTTGTAAAACAGCTAAAATCTTAGGGCTGAAAAAAAGCAATCATCCACTGCTTTTGGAGAATTATACTTGGTCTCAGTTCATCTCTGGTGTAACGAGAAAATACATGATTTTCCATGCATTACATAGCCTCGTAAGAGAGGCTATGATTTGCAGTCCATGAGCTCAGTGGGAATTTGCCTGGATAAGAAATGCAAGTTTAAACCTACTTTTTTTAAACTTTGGTATGT